GCCCGCAGCACCAACGTGGCCCCCCCCTGCGCCTGGACCTGCTGGAGAGTGCGGTGGTGGCCCGACACCGTCCCCGAGGACCAGAGAGCCCCCCCAGCAACCGCTACGCCGGCGACTGGAGCATCTGCGACGACCAATTCTTACTGGTACCCGGCCCGGCCGGCGACGCCGACTATGACGAGGTGGCAGCTGGTGACGGTGAGACAGGGGTGCCAGCACGGCGGTCCCCGCACCGGCGGACCCTCTTTGTGGGTGATTTCACCCTGGGCGAGGAACCCGAGGCGGCCTTCGGCCCCCGCCTCAACCTCAAGGACTTCGATGCGCTCATCCTCGACCTCGAGCGGGAGCTGGCCAAGCAGATCAACGTCTGCCTGTGAGACTGGCGCCAACGCCGGTACCGGTGACAACGCCAACGCTGGTACCGATACCGGTGACAACACCAATGCTAGCACCGATGCCGATACTAGTGACAACGCTGACGCTGGTACCGATACCGATGCCAACGCTAGCACCGATGCCAATGCTAGCACTGATGCCAATACCGATGCCAACACCGATACCGGTGACAATGCCAACAATGGTACCAATGCCGGTGACAACGCCAGCGCTAGCACCGACGCCGATACCGGTGACAACGCCAGTGCTGGTACTGATGCCGATACCGGTGCCAACGCTGATACCGATGACAATGCCAACACTGGTACCGATACCGGTGACAACGCCAACGCTAGCACCAATGCCGATACCGGTGACAATGCCGATACCAATGACAAGGCCAACACTGGTACCGATACCAGTGACAACGCCAACGCTAGCACCAATGCCGATACCAGTGAAAACGCCGATACTGGTGACAATGCCAACGCTGGTACCAATACCGGTGACAATGCCAACGCTGGTACTAATACCGGTGACAACACTGATACCAGTGACAATGCCAACGCTGGTACCGATACCGGTGACAACACCAATGCTAGCGCCGATACTGATACCGGTGACAACGCCGATACCAGTGACAACACCAACGCTGGTACCAATACCAGTGACAACGCCAATGCTAGCACCAATGCCGATACCGGTGACAACTCCGATACCAGTGACAACGCCAACGCTAGCACCGATGCCAATACCGGTGACAATGCCAACGCTGGTACCGATACCGGTGACAACACCAATGCTAGCGCCGATACTGATACCGGTGACAACGCCGATACCAGTGACAACACCAACGCTGGTACCAATACCGGTGACAACGCCAACACTAGCACCGATGCTGATACCGGTGACAATGCCGATACCGGTGACAACGCCAACGCTAGCACCGATGCCAATACCGGTGACAATGCCAACGCTGATACCGATACCGGTGACAACGCCGACGCTAGCACCGATGCCGACACCAGTGACAATACCGATGCCGATACCGGTGACAAGAACACCGCCGGCGCCAACGTCAACACCAATATTGATGCCGACACCGGTGACGATGCCAACACGGGTGACGATGCCGACACCGGTGACATCACCGGCGCGAGAGCGACCAAAAAAAAAAGCAGCACTTGCCTCTAGTTGCCTTCAATTTGCACAGCACCGAGCAGGAGGGACCCCGACGGTGAGGATGATGCCGCTTTCGGGGGGGG